ATATATATATATATATATATATATATATATATATATAGGCAAAATCCTTCGTCATCTTTACAGTATTTACTTTTTCTACACCTTGAGCTTCAGTTCCGTGCAAATATATCACGATATAATATATCAGACGGAATTGTTTTTATAATATTTTTTTTTAAATAAAGCATTTTAAATGCCACAATAAATCACATTTAATGAATTCTAATACAATTCCAATTAAGGCCTTAATTTAAAACTTTTAATTTTAATATTTAATTACTTTTAATGATTTTTAATGACCTGCGGAAACCCTGAATATACGGAGTTGAATTGACACCATCCTTTCACTGAATTACAGGGTCTGACCAGAAGAGGGCGCTTGTCTTTAGATCTTAATGTCCACAAATCATGACAGAAAAGATATTTTAGCACAAAGATTGATGTTTAAAAAAGAATTATAGGGACCAGGAAAGGAGTTCAAGGAAAATGGGGACATTTTATTAATATACGGAGCAGAAATTAGAGATAATTGTAAGAAAATGTAAGAAGTAGAAATAAAAAGATTTACTCCAGTAAAGTATTGATAAGCTAAACTTTCTACTTAAGGTAACAACTCTTTGGACTTTGTTAGTTGACCCCTCAGGCGTGTGCGAATTATAAATGTGTTTTTAGGATGTCGTCAGTCTCTGTTGATCTGTTATTTTTAGGATCAGGGGATGAAAAGTTTGGAAACTTCCTTATAAAACGGAAAATTTGGGTTAAAGTTTTCCTCTGAAAGCAGTGACTTCATTTTTTTTTTTAAACCAGATGTTGCATCTCTTATTTACGACATGTGCAGCACATGGAGAATCCATGAACCTGTCTCATTAAATGAGTATTTAGGAGAAGGAGATGTACTCACAGTTTTGCTTCCTGCAGCAGAAAGCCTTGCTTATCGTACACTGCAAAAAAAAACAAAAAAACAAAAAACAGAAACAAAATATTAGTCCATTAGATTTGAAGAGTGCCATCTTTTTTGGCGTGGGGGCGGGGCTTTCTTGTAGACATTCACTACGTTATTTCAACTAGCAGCTGAGTTACTGTAGTTGTAAACAGCGTGTGCGGCTTCCACAGGGAGAACAATGCAGCGTATGGAAAAAGTAAAAGCATCTGGATTAAAGGAGACAACACAAACAAGCGAGGTTGAGGCAGAGGCCAGCCAAAAAAAAACAAAACCCATCTGTTGAGATAAAAAAAAATGAATAAACAAATATTAGAAACAGTCGGAGGATCACCTATGGGTATCCAGTAGGTGAGGAAGGGCAGAAGAAAACAGACTGCAGGTGAAATGAAAAGTTCAGTTGGATTTGTGTGATTTCAGAATTCAGGACATGACCTTTTCACATTATTTCTACCAGCGAAATAATGCGACGTCATCTGCGATTAATCCGTGTGACGTTAGCTGAAGTTAGTGCAGAATTACTCCTGTAAGTGAGAGAGAGAGAAAGAGAGTCTCGTCTTCAAAGAGAAGCTGGCCAACAAAGATGGAGGGGGGGAAAAAGGGACGACGGGAATGCTTTTGGCGAGGAAACTGAGGAAGAATCGAATAGCGCAGCTCGGGGCAACAAGCAAGGTGAGACATTTGTGTTTGAGATTTCCACTGAAGCATCACGCAAGCCGTGGTTGGAAGGCGAGGCAAACGTGGAAGACGGCAAGTATGATGGTGGAGATTCTCAGTCATCCAGGTCAGAGTCATTCCAAAAGAGTTAAAGTT